TTTAAGTGTAAAAAATAAATTCTCTTTCATGGATTTTATATAAAGATATGCATGTTTAATCATGTAATATATCTAGATTAAAATAATGTCTTAAATTTTAAATACATTTAAATTTAAATTTTGTATTTAAATACAATTTTAAATACAAAACGCTACAGTTTTAGTATGCGGTGTTAAGTATTTATGTACTTTAATGTTAAACGATAACCGTTATACTTCAACTGTCGACTCTATAATATACTAGAAATAATTTAATAGTGAAAATATGAATTAACGAAAGAACATGAACTTTTACGATCTCTAACAGATAAAGTACATTGTATGCACGATTCATCGCACCACATAATCTTAATATTCTTCGTTATACCATACGATTGGTTAGTTGAATGTCATTTATGATGTTTCCGAGTATTATGAAATAACTCGTATGAGTTCGTTCATGTGATTGGTACTATACGGACTTATCTCAACGGCGTTATAATTGTTACAATTGTGCTGAGTTTAGTAGAATAGAAACTTAAGACACCCCGAAGTCGTTCTACTTCATACTTCAAGGTAATCGTAGTATAATATATTATCCTCTATAAATTGTCAATACTAATAATGGAAATTTGGGATTATACTTGTATTCATACATTGTAAAGCAGCCGACTGTTTTTTAAACGTTCATCAGACGAATTAGGGGTACTATAATAATCTGCTTGAAGGTATAAAACACAACTAGCATTCATATTAAGCACGCCAATGTTGAGATACTAATGTTTGGATCCAAGAGAAATAGATAACAACAATTAATTTTTGAACCTTGCAAGTATTTTCACTTTCGCATACTTCAGTTTTAAATGACAACAACGTGATTGACATTCATTACTGACGAATGATAATTTCCCTATTCGGTCAATCAAGAATGTCAGTCTTCATTCATTAATTTATTTTATCAGTCAAAAAAATAAAATATTCGTGCTGTGTAAATTTAATTAAAATTTTTACATATACTTACTGTTGAGTTCGTCAATTTATTGAAACGAATAAAGATGCTCTTATTGGTTTCACCATTTATTTCGCATGTGATGATGCAAAGAAATCCAAGAAGAAATAGAAAAAATTCTGGATAAAAGAATGGTTAGAAAAAAGAAAGTCATTCTCTATATTAACTTTTCGGCTCGTCCGACTGACATTCAAGTACATAAATGAGCAATCAAGAATGTCAAACATCTTGACTGACGATAAAAATTCATACATGTTTGAATTTCATCTGTTATCAAATTTGATTGCCAGTCATTATCAGTTATACACATACACGGTCAGTCATAAAGGTTGATTGTCATTGACCGTATATGGGCCTTCAGAGGAAGAAAACTGTAATATTTATACATAAATATACTTGTCAAACAATCGTTATTTGTGGTACACTAAACGTGGTGTATTTTCATAGAATTAGGGTTCAGTTCAAAGTTTGGAAAAGTCAAATACTCGCAGTATTTTTGGTTTTGGAAAAATGTTGGGTTTTTTTTTTATATACTAATTATGGTTTCAACAATAAAGTTACTAGCCAGAAAAGAAGAATTTACATTTTATATTTTAAATTATTTTTTAATATGAAAATCCTCGCACACTACGGTCTGCACTATGGCCGTACGGTAATTTATAAAAATATATTTTTATGATCACCGATCGGCCTAACACTTGCGCACACGTTACATAACATCGTAGTAATTAAGTAAATGTGATCGTGAATTTTACTATCAAAATTATAGCAAGAAAATATTTGTCATTTTCAAGTGCGTGGAATTATATTATTACCGTTCTTAATCTCGTATGAACCACCGTCATGGAATGTTAAACGTGCAAGATTCGTTGCTTAACGTAGCCTTTATTATTATTAATTATTTTTTATAAAAAAAAAAATAAAAAAAATATTTGAATAGCTTTTTAAACAAATTTAACTTTTTTGAAGTATTTAGTAAACTACTGAGAAAATCAAAAATGTACTCATGTTACAAACTTATAACCATATTCAATTTTGTTACCTATAAATAAGTATTTTGCATTTAAATATAAAAAATGGTTTTTTTACATTCTTATAATACGAAAAAACACGAAAAAAAAATCAAAAAATAGAACGTTTGCTAAACTAGAATTGTTCTAATTTTTCCATTAAGTAAATACAAAATAATTATTATTTATATTTTTATTTAACATTAACTTAATTTAAAAAATATTAATTATATATATTAAAAAGGAATAATAATATAAAATGATTTATTTAAAAAAAATTATAATATAATAATTATGCAGTGAAAACTAGTTGTTATTTTTATAACACTTATAATACTTTAGGCATAGTTATTGTATAGTCATTTTTTTTATGATAATAATAATAATAATAATAATAATAATAATAATAATAATAATATTTATAGATATCACATTATAAATTAAATTTACAAACATGTTATATAATATAATGTTATATATTGTGTTATATGTGTTATACGTCTTACAATGTTTTTATATATTTTACATGTTTCATAATATAAACCATTTTATATTATTGTTTCTTTTCAATTAATAAAATTTATATTTTTTAATACTAGAATATAACATAATTTTAAGTAATTTCATTGTTTAAATGTTTAATATACATGAAAATATAATTTACATTAGATGGTAAACGCTAATTTGTTTTTGGCATTCAAGTTTGTTTTGACTTTATGCACTCAAGTTTTCTGTGAAACATCTTTTTTTAAACTAAATTACATTTTAAGAAGATTATGTAATAGTTTATCTCAGGTAAAATAAGAAACATTTTTACTGATGAATATAGGAAAAATATATTTTGTGTTTGTAAAATATTAACTATTGAGTAAAAATAGTCTTGCCACCCATGCATTTTATTACCTTTGTCACGAAAAGTGACCATAAATCTTTATTACAAAAATAGGTACATATTATCATTAATTAAATAATTCTAATAATAATTCTACTCTATTATGATATTATTAGAATTATTCCATAATCTATGACAGCGGTTCTCAAACTTTTTTTTCGCTTACCACTTGAGTATATTATCAATCAGTCACGTACCATTAATGATTAAAAATAGAACCATACAAACTTTACATAGTTAAATACATTTATTTTAAATAAAAAGGCAGTCAAATAGAAAAATAAAATTATTATTTATTTATTAATACAAATTTATTAGTGTTTTTAAATTAACTTTTAAATTAATTTTTAAATATTGAAATTTAATTTCCTTTCTATCACCGTACGGTCTTTCACATACCACCATGTAGTCCTTCGCATACCATTTAGTGGTACGTATACTACAGTGTGAGATCTGCTGATCTATGATATTGTTAAATAAAATTGATATTAGTAAATATTATTGAATAAGAAAATAAATTCAATACATGATCAACATTTTAAGATGACCCTCTTATATATATTCAATAGGTATTTTGATTAACCTGTCCATTGTATTGTTTTATTTGTTTTGATTTTAATAAAGTTAAATAATATTATATATTTATTTTAATGTTTTATACCTATTGTATACATTTATTGCTTGTTTAATTTTAAAGTTACACTTTCAGTTGCAGTAATTATTTTTAGTTTCTATACTGTTATTGAACATTAAAAGGAATACTTTTTTTAATTTATATTTATCATATGTGATTTTTATGAAAAATAAATTAAAGCAAACCATAAATAAATTACAATAAATTTGATATTTGAGTGCTTAAAAACAATCCTAATGAAGAAATGTATATTTTTCTACTCTAATTAGACTCTAATACCTAAGATTTTTCTGCATTTTCACTCTCGTTAATGTTAAATAAGATCTGTTGTAAATTGTTAATATACATACATTACTTATATCTGTGCATCTAAATGTAAATCATTTTTTTTGTAATTAATTTAACTTATTAATTTAAGTTAAGTCAAGTTAACGATATTTTTTAACTTAATTTTTAAATGGTAAATGTAATACTTATGCACATTAACTTAATTGTTATCTTAATTGAACATGAACTCAATTAACTTAACTGAGTTGAAGAATATCATTAACTTGTCCAGTTTTGCTTTTACCACTGGGTTTTTTTTCCACCGACACGTTTCACGGTGGACTCGCCGTCTCGGGCAACTTCTTGCGCGCAACGACCGTTCCGAACGTGCTGGTGTCACGTGTTTTTTTATTGGATTTTCGTCCCGTGCGGAGTATCCTGTTTATTATCCTGCTTCGGGAAATCATAACCCGTTTTACTGGTCGGTTCTAGCGTTTGTCGCAAGGTCGCGTGGGCATAAACATTCGAACGCCAGATCGAGGTTCGAAATACAGACGATCGCGCTTTGTAACGCCCGTCGTTCGCTACGTTTGTAAAAAATATTGTTTCATACGATTTAGTCTGATTATCAGTGCTCGAATTGGTCAAAATTAAGTAGAGAAGCTCAGTCCAACAATTTGAAAATTGCGTTCCATGTGCGCAATCATTTAACGCAGACGAGTGGGAGGTTATCTAAAATTATCTAAAATTATTATTGCACAACTACAAGTTAGAAAAATAATAAAGAAAATCAACGGCCATAAACGTATTTTCATACATTTTAATCTAGATAAAATAATTTATTAATATTTTCTTTTACATAACACAAATTTATATAATTTAATTAATTACAATACTAGACATAATATTTTATACATTTTTATTTTTATAAATATTTGAGTATAAAAATATTTACTAAAAAAAAACTAAACTATATTTTTTATTTATAATTTGCTAATATTCAACTTTATTCTACCATCATCAAAATAAATATTATTTAAAACTCTAAAATAAATTTTTAGTTGATTTGAAATTCCATTGTAATAATTTTAAAATTATTTAAATACTTGTATTCATTTACTTTATAAACATGTTCAAGATCAATATTCACTTATTTTTTATGTTTTTAATTAGTATTAAAAATCATGTCTTATAGTACATCTTGAATGAAAATATAATTTGTCAATTTGTGTCAGTTTTTTTTTTTTTTTATGTTTATGTGCACCACTTGAATAATGAATGAATCACGAATAATATTTAGTTTATACAATCGGACTGAACATGTAATAAACTGTAGTTAGAATAACTAACTATTGTTGTTATAACTATAGTTAGAATTGAATTTGAAGTTTTGATGTTTTAAGATTCAATTGCATCATTTTATAGTAATTAAAAAATATTCAATGTAATGTTCAATAATATGTGTGCTGAAACGTCAAATCGAATGTATTACATTAATTTACCGAACTATTATTTTTTACACCTAAACATATTTCATACGCAACGAATAGATTGAAAACATTTTTCAATGTCGAATCTATTTTGAGAATGTGCAATAAAATAAAATATGGAATCGGTTGACTAAAAATCAAAATATTATTTCTAACGTTAACACTTACGCGTGACAATAATTATATCACCTACAATATAATCGACAAGATAAACGTTCTGCTTTCTACAATCTGTTGGCTTCCATGAAATCCCTTCGCGAACGGCGTTCTGTAATCTAAATGATGTATTGCACGTATAGTATGGAATTTTTTATCAGCCACGGTTAAGTGTGTGATTTATGAAAGCTTCCTTGGAAATATTTATAATTTATTTGACCATTTTTAGGTTTATTTATATTAGAGTAATTTTATTATGGTCATGATATTTTGTTGGTCATAATAGTAATGTTGTATTTATTTCTAAATTAACAATGAAACATTTTAAAACATTAATTTTCCTAATACAAGATCACGATTACTTAATAATAATAAAAAAAAAAAATGCAGTATACTTCCAAACCCAAAACAGAATTATTAACCAATAAATAGATAATATATTCATCTACACATATTTCCAAATCAATTATCTTTGACAAGATAAATTGTAATCCTACGAGATAGTAGATACTCTAAATAGTTTAATGACTACGTAGGTGGAACTAAAAATCATATATTGACTTTTGATTGTTCGTTGTTTATTGCACTATGCATGAATTTGAAACTGTATTAATTAAAATCTTTATTAGAAGTTAGTCATCCAACATAAATCGCACACTTGACCGTAACCATTTTTATTTTACATTTTCCCATAAACTTCTGGGAAACACGAGACGATACTTTACTCACTTTGGTTTTTGGATGACACTGCTCGCATCTGTGCGTCAATACGGTTTGTTGTCTGGAACCTTGGCATTTTAAAACAAACCATAATTCATCAATTAAGTCCCTCCACGTGGATCTCTGAGGTCCGATTTGCTATTTTGGGTACAATGGGATAAGGGAAAAGACAAATAGATTAGTTTTAGTTCATGTTGGTCATGGTACGATTATTATTCGTCATTATTATATGCTACCAATCCTAAGAATTTAAATAGCAGTATGCAAACTCTTTGGTATTGCCGTATTTTATATGAAATCATTATTTATAATATCTAATTACGATATTTAATCATTATTATTCAATAGTTCGTCATACGAGGGAGTTCTACACAGGTGTATTGATCGATGTAATTTTCACTAGTGTTAAATATACAGAACTACTAGTTATTTGTTCGATAAGTATTATTTTCAATGATGCAAATATGCAATGTGTACATACTTGAATAAGACTTATTGTTTTTTTTTTTCAGAATAAAAAGACCTCTTGTACTACATTCAACTTTAAACTAGCAACATTTCTGGTATTTTCTATCGGAAGTATTTGACTCTAAGTTATTTATAGTATTAACATTTATCTTGCAATAAAATTGTGAAATAAACTTGAATACTTGATCCAAGTCAAATAAAATTGAGTACTCGTATATACGAGTATACAATTTTTTTTTCGAGTCGAGTACTCGAACTCTACCCGAAAAATTTCACAAGTATCACTCGTCCAATTCTAGAATATATATTCTAAAATATATACATTGAATAATATGAGAAAAGAAACGTAATTCCTATTTGAAAAATAATGCCATAGAAAAGAATACCTTAAAAGGTATAAAACATACATTTCTTGGGAAACATAGTCTTTAGGTATACATATTTTTTCTGAAAATAAGAATTAAAAAAAAACGAATAATTTGTGCATAATAAATGGGTTGGTATACTTAAGAAATCACTGTGAAAAGTAAATGCATTAAAAATAATGTAAAAAAAAATTCACAAAATATCGTAATTGTATGTTTTTCATTATCAGAATGTCATACGGATAATTATATTATTTGAAATTTAAAAAAAAATTCACGCCGATGTTATCGAAAAAAGTTTTATTAGAAGACAGTTGCACTTGAATGTACGTTATTACGTTTTCTTTATAGTCGTATCAGTTTCCATTTATTGCTGTCTTTTGATATTTTGCTTTTTTCCTGGTTTTCTCTTAACAATCTGTTAATTTATCAATACGAAAATTAAGCATTCGTGGATTTATAATAAGGTAATGTGTACTTCACATTTAAGTCAGTGACTTTGTGTATGATCCGAGGTATTACATATCGTGTATTACATGCACTCGAGTCTATGCGTATGTCAATATATATTAAAGTCAGAGAAATGCGTTTGGATGAAGAATTCAATATTCCGAAAATTTATCAGTCTTTTATTGATCACAATTGTGATGGAGAAACTGTATGATTAGCCAGTAAAATATTTTCTGTGGCAAAGAATCATATGAAACACAATAGTTTCTAAATGTAACGGAAAAAGTAACATCCGACAATAGCGGAGCGACTAGAGATTTGGCACAATGCGTTTTTATTAAAAGCATCCTGGATGATTCTTTCGGCCTGGAATTTGAAAAGGTGGTATTTGAAAAAGGACGAGGCAACGTGATAATAACCATAAATAATATATTGGGTGAGTCATTAAGAACGTTTGATTATACTTTCTAGAATTATCGATACTGTACGAGATCCAGGATCTATAAAACTTTTATTTATATTTTGTAATATATGTTTCAATTAATAATACATAATTCGTTGTATTAGTTTATTGTTTATTATTGTTCATTCGACGTAGGACGCTGTAAGAGGAAACAATTTTCATTATGTGTTATTGAAAAGCACGTATTGCAAGTACGCGCAGCAACCAACACCAACCGAGTACGTCGTGGATTCCTCATTTGAGAGATTTTGGTCAGGAATTTGAAAGTCAATGAATTATAATTTGAGAAATTTCAAACATAAATTATTGTACAAAATAGTATTGTGCTGCGCTACATTAAAAGATTGACAAACATAATAGCAGTTAATTAAATAATTTTTATATTATTTTGACTTCAAATGCGATACGAGTCTAAATAATTTTGAATTTATAGTGTTTACGTGGTGATAGTTGTTTAAAAAGTATATGCATTATTTACTATTATTTAAGGATTTTTTTGTTCGTAAACTAAATTGTATGAATATTTTAATGTACAATCTAAATGTGAAAAATTATGAGTCATAATAATGGTTTTGGTATCTGGATATAATCGGTAGAATGGTATGACTGACGTATATTATATATATATATATATTTACCGAAAGACTTATAAAACGATTTTGAGGGTAAAAAGTAAAAGGCTTAAAACTTTTAGCCTTTTAGCCATCAGTATAATAATCGTAAACGAAAGTAAGCGCGTCACCGATAATGACATTTTCTTGACAATCGTCAGACCGAGAGGACAGTTCATAAATAAAATATTACTGATGTTTGTTCAATAAATTGTACGTTTAAAGTTAAACACGCTTACCCACGCAGTCGGATGCTTATACTCTTTTGTAATGTATACGTATATGTACGGTACGCAGATACATTTACGTAAAATATAATGTATTCCCTTTGCAGATATTATGTCGTTTTCAGTACAATTTAGATAAACACGAGTGCATTAGAATCTCATTATACTTAAATTGCTCCACCGTCGGAACTTTTTGAAACAACCCTCGACGCCTGTGCAATATGGACAGCATATACGAGTAGTATACTGTAACGATGCCGAAAATCTCAAAACATACCGTTCCCTTTATACATTTACTATTATTTAATCGCATTGGCTATTGCATTTTGTTTGCTGATCGATATTTATTTTAAATTATTACTATACATACTTATTTTAAATTTTCGTCATAGTTTCGAACATTCAAAGCTGTGTTTCTTAAAGGTATACAATGGGTTGGATTTTCGAGAAATTTCGCAGATTTCAAATCAGACTTATTATTATGTACAATAGTGGAAATGATAAACAGTCAATGTGAAAATTGGCAATTCAATTTCATACATAATTCAAACGGAGGCATTTTTGATAGTGTTGTTAAAAAGATAATATCTAAGCTTAAAATTAAATTCAATATATTAGAGTTTTTGTTCTGCACCATATCAATGTATAATGAATACTTATCTGTATATTAGTAATTAAAATTCTTACATTATATTAACAACCTAATAAGTCAAGAGGGAAAATATTATTTTTAGTTATGAAATTAAAATTCATTGTTCATAGAATAATCTCTCAACAGATAACTGTATTAATGTTTTGCGATTCATAGTATTAAAACCGTTCAAAGGTTTTTAACTACTGTTCATTCAAGTTTTACTGAAACAAAAAGGATAAAATACTTCGAAACAGTAGGTATTTGCAACTACCATTACTATCTTTTAGAAAAATCCTAATATCTTGCTATATTTATTTTCGAATTTTAACACTAAGTAATAATTGTTGATTAAATCAATTGTTATGCTTGGAACTTTTTATTTACCTTTTATTTTATTTAAACATTTATTTTATTTTATAATATTCATGTTTTACGTTTTGATTTGTATTTAATGACAATAAATAAAAACAACTAAAGGACTCATATAATTTGATATTGTAATATTTTAGTTTTGAGGACTAGAAATATACTAATAAAAAACTATCGAATTACAACTTCTAATAATGAAAATCAAAATTTTTCTTTGGCAGCATTTAAAAATTTTCAGTTAAATATTTTAAATCCATTGATTAATGCATATCCTATTTATATTTATTTTGCAGAAGTCCTACAGTATACCATGCATAAAGTTTTTATAGAGAATATAACATTTTAGTATTTTAGCGATTATCATAATATATTTTTGTAAGTACTTGTAACTTCTCAGAAATATTAATTGAATTTTGAAAAATAATATATATTATACTTATGGACATTTTTAAAAATTATTTAAGTTACGAGTATGAAATAACAGATTTGCAGTTTAATGTTCATCATATTATCCGTAATTTATTAAATTCTTATATAGTATAAAAACTAGTGATGGGTTGATTTTTTCGAATCTCGAACCGAACCGAACCGAATCCTTGATGTTCGGTTCGGTTCGAAATTCGAACTCAGCATAAAAAAAAATCGAACCGAACTATCAAGCATCTTTTACTGTTCGAAAATCGAACTTGAAAATATTTGTCGAACCAGACTTACTGGCCACGATAGTTCAAAAACCAAATATTTGTATAATTTTTCAAAAGTTATTTTTGAAAAATATAAATTAATAATGATTATTTAGAAATAATTAGACTGTAGGCGATAGAAATTGATAATCTGTAAAGGGCACGTTATGCATTATTTATAATAATAATGCTATTATAATAATAATAATGTTATTTTTCCAGTCGCATGTTACACATCCACACTCCACCGACCAAAACATTAATAAGTTGTTTATCACCAATAGAGGCAGTGTATCTACATTCATAAATTAGCTATTTTTGTTTTTATCATATTTATTATAGAGGTTAAAATCTATTTTGGGTAAATTCATGGTAATATTCCGAAACCGCGACTGTGATGTTAATAAAAACATGTTTACAACTTATGTCTTACATTATAAATTCTACCAATCATTCTATATTTGTGAATTATAGTTATTATTACTACTTTTTTTATATATTATTAAAATGTACTGATTGTATTGTCATATTACACTCAGTACTTAATACTCAATTAATGTTTTATAATCTACAAGATAACATGAGAGATTGTGCTCTACTGGTTTTGAAAAATAATAATAATAATAATAATAATAATAAAAAATTATCTAAAATTTAAATGTATTGTAAATAATATAATATTTGTAATAATTATTGTATAATATTAATGTACAATAATTATTTATTTTCATTTACATTTTAAGTAATTATTACTTAGACTTAAAAGTTAAAATGTAGAATAGGTAATACGAAAATTTAAAATACAATAGTAATTAATAATTATGGTTTATTTAATTTGTAGGTAGGTACAATGTAAATGATAAAAAGTATTGAGTTCGAGTTCGAGTTCGACTTAAAATCATAATAGATTCGGTTTGGTTCGGTTCGGTAGAAAATATGAAGGTTCGGTTCAGTTCGAGTTCGAAAAAATAATTTAAAGTTCGGTTCAAGTTCGGTTCGATTTAAAAAATCAGGGTTCGACCCATCACTAATAAAAACTCATCCATCAATTTTAAAAATGTGTTTTTGCATATACAATAAAATATTAAAATAAAAAATTTTCTTTTCAAAAACTTTGTCAATTCAAAAAATATGTTATTTACCTGTTCGATGAGTTTTATTTTCTTTCTATAATGGTAAAACTCAAAAATGGACACCATTATTGATATGACGAGTCCCACTAGAAGCACGGCAAATACTCCACCTGAACAATCACACACAAATAGAAAATATTTAATGATAATTTTATGTGGATATATTATATTTTACTGAGTGGTGTTAATTGTGAAATGTAAAGATAAAATAAATATACATATATTCTTGAAATCCAGTGTGTTAGTTTTTGTTCCTGCTCCAGATTTCTCAGACACACACATGTCATTGGGTGGCTTCCACCATTTGTTGTACAGCATTTGTATATCACCCTTCTCTTGTAGATCTAAAATCGCCAAAGATATCTGATCTTTCCACGGCGAACCTGGTGGCAAAATATTATTTAGGTACACGTTGTTATATATTTCTAGCTCCAACTCTTATCTGAAACTAACCCATGGGCGTGGCTATTCCATATCCTTTTGAATCTAGCAACCCGTTTATCTGTGTCAGGTTGCAGTTTCTCTGTACTACGTAATCGAGCATTGTGGATTCCATCAGAAACGCGAAGTTACCTTGCAATACCCTTTTTATGCCTTCGTCATACGACGTCACAAACACCGAAGGTTTTTTCTTTTGCATGTACGCCCACATTTTCTTATACGTTTCGATCATTGAGTCCTTAAAAAAAAAACCGATTATTATGCACGAGATATAGTTAGAAAATACCATACATATTATTGAAGAAGGTATTATTGTAAGTATACCTAGTTATACTTAGCTACAATGTTATTACTTCAGATTAGTTTTGTATTTACTCGAATGAAAAAATTAAATTGATATGGTTTGTCGTTACTTTGTGAAACGTTTAACATATATTAAGTGTATAAAGAATTTTAAATGTAATAGAATTGAAACATTTTTACTCTTATAGTCACCGGATTCGTATATAGTTTAATTTAATTTCCGTATGGTATGATATTCGATTGTTGTGAAACTTAAATATCAGTTAAAATTTAAGTATAAATTTAAGGAAGTAAAATTTTTTTAAGTACTATTTTACAGAGTTTATCGGCGTTATTAAAATATTTCTTTTATACACATAATTGTTTGGAATTCATTAAATCCATTCGTTTCACATTGCATGTATAAGGAAATTTAGTTACATAATGGAATTACCCTAAAAAATGTCATTGTTGTTCCACTGTCCAATGTACCATAAGCTATGTTTGTTTGTGCAGCAAGATCTTCTGCATTTTCAATAGGGCTTACCATTCTTTCAACCGTCAGAAAAGCAGCTAAATTTGCTGTATAAGAAGATACAATAATCAATGTAAATGACCACCAAACACATCCGATTATTTTCGTGGAAATAGCCTGTTTAAAATCCAAAATCAAAACATTTTATTTAATGATGTGATTAGAAAATGTTAGAAAATTAAATTATGAATTATTATTACAATATACAAATTCTGATATTTGTACAATCAAATAAAAGGTACTTACTACTGTTATTGGTTTACAAATAAAATTAATATTATAAAAATAATATATACCCAAAATTTACAAATTAATATTTATAAGCATTTATAAATAAGATTTTCATACTAATATTTCTTAAGGTATAATAGTCACTATATTAAAATTCTTCTTATCACTAGTACACAATAATGGTATAGAATTATGAAAAAAAAAAAAAAAAAAATGAAATCAACACGTTTTATATTAGTATACATTATCTTATAATTCAGTACTATTATTTTTTTCTTTTTTAATTTAATTTCATTTAATTTTAAAAAACAGTCATACATTATAAAGAATTATAAAAAAATTAACAATATAAATAATTATTTAAAAAGTTATTTATTATTAAAGTATTTAACTTATCCCAAATATGTATTTTTTTTTTTTATTTTGCAATATTTTCCACGATCGATTGAATTCTAAATATATGAACATTAAATATGTAAGGATTACGTGGTGTGAATAGTACATTTAGGAAACCTTCTGGTGAAAGTATTTAAACAGTTATAATTTATAACTATTTTAACTGTCTATCACTTTATTTATAACTTAGAGTTATAATACAGTTAAGGTTAATCAATTATTAAATGATTATTCAAACAGTTATAGTGTTCTTTGTCACAAAAACTTATGCTAAATTAGGTTATACAGTCCTAATGCTACTACCTTTTAAACTTTTTGAGGGATAATTTTAATAAAGGGTATTTTAATCATGTTAAATAAATAATATTTGCTCGTACAAATAAACGTTAAATATAATAATATATTAAACTATAAAATATTAATTATTGTTATAACGGTATAACGATTAGGTGTACCAATAAGTTATTATCAATAACGTACCTAACGTTTTATTTGAAAACCGGTCGAAGTTATTCAAAACTATTTTTAAAGATATTAAATATAAATTAAAATTAAAACTTTGTTAATTATGATAATATGTATTAATCCATCAACTCCCAAGGGAAGACCTTTCTGAGTCCCTATTAAATCCATCACTGGTTAAAATAAATTGACTTAAGATTGGTTATGGCTACATTATAAAATCTTATTTTTATTACAATTGGCTTAATTTTAATATATTTTTATACAAATAGTAAACATAAAAATAACGTTTAGAGTTCGTTTCAATCGGTGATTATTTCAAAAATTCAAGTTCAATATATTATTATACCTTTGGACTGATGTCTGAACCTTGTTGCATAAGTGAACCAATGGTGAACCAAAAACTATTAGACAATGTGAATCTGTTTAAATGGGATGGATTGGGATCTTGTTTCGGGCTGCTGAACAATTTCCCGGAATTTTCGTCCTCCCATTCATACGGTGAAAATCTGGCTACGATGTATAATGTGACGGATACCACTATGTATGCAATTAGCCAGTAAATCCATACTTCTAGAGCCAGTGGATTCATGAATGAAAAGAATTGTGCCGGTTGATTGCTAGGGATCTATTGATAATGAAAATTAGCTTAGCGACTAGAAGGCCAAAGTCAGTATAACAATAATTGTAATAATTGTTTTCAATATTCTATTAAAAACCAAATTGGTTTAGTGATTTTAAAAAATAATTTCGTCTCTAATTATTATAGTAATTAATTTCATTCAACAATTTGGAAATTCACTGCCTACATGACAAAACATATATTTTTTTATTCATGACAAAACTTTTAAAATGTACATAATACATTTTTTTTTATTATTAAAGTAAAATAGATAAAAGTGTTAATGAACTATAGAACTATATAAAGTATATACAATTTTAGTCGAAACAATTACAAAATTTCTAGAAAATCATGAATAATAAAATTTTTTATAAAACATAAATGCTGATTATTTTATAAATATAAAACAAGCTTTACTTATAGAGAAATATTTGTACTTTTATTTATTTTTTATTTAAATTTAAAACTCTAAACTTCTTTATACTTATAATATTATCCTTAGTCTACATTAGTTTTAATTGTATTTTGTGGTTCTACTATGTGAAATCAGAATCAAAATTTGATATTATTGAATCTATAGTTTGAGTTTTTAACTCACAAAAATATTACGCATTATAATAATACAATGTAATTATTTTTTAAATTATCACTTGTATTAGAATATAACACATATAACACATATTATTATACCTTATATAAAATACTGATACCCAAATTCATAAATGGTTTGGTAAAGTCAATAACACTTTCTCGAGCATAGTTAATGGTCATTGATCCAACAGCTAAATCTGCTTTCTAAAAATGAACATATATGAACATAAAAAAAAAAAAATAACAATTTTCCATATTGATTATCAATAGTTTTTAGTTTTATTAATGATTTTTGCACCAAATTTTTAAATAGATCTGAATTATTATTTATTTTTATTTGACTAAAATCAATAAGTAGGTGTTTTAACTAATATCAATTTAGTTGAATATATATATATATATATATCATATTATAATTAAAATAGCTAGATAAGTTATGTTAATTTTTTTTTAAATTAATAATTCAAATAAAAATGCTATAAATAAATAAATATTTGTAGATAGGTGAAGAATTAAATTTCAAAATAGTTATATTTTATTTAATATTATATTTGAGTGATAGAAAAATATTTTTATGATTATATCTTTATACAAAGCAATTTCAATTTAAACAGTTAACAACTCACATGTTTTATGAGTTGCTCGACAATACCATTCCATTCTAAAGTCATCGGATCTTGAGCACCATATTTGTTATCAGGTACTAAATCCAAAATGTAATCAAATCCAACCTGTTTAGCAATCATTTCTAACAAATCAACACAAAATCCGAAAAATCTTGCATTGCCCGTGTAGTTTTTACCACGATGCATCATGACGTAAGGAAATTCCTATATTTTTTACATAACAAATAAATAAAACAAATTATACTACTATGAGTGAAAAAAAATATACTACATTTTTGGATTTAGTAAATGTTACATTATTATTGTAGTACATATTTCATATAATAAATGTTAAGTTTATAAGAAAATATAATAATGGTCAGTTAAGATAAAATAATAATAGTTCAAAAAAAAAAAAAATTAAACTTAAATTTATACTTAATCTAAATTCTTAAGTATATAACTAAGGAATTTCATTAGACGTAATTGAACTTCCTCATATTATTCTATGAATTCACATTATTTGAATTTTTTGAAAATAAATAAAGCAAAAATGATGAAAAATACGACTTTGGTTCAAAAATTTGCATCCAATTCAAATCCAGTTGAATTTTTATAGAAAATAAGAAAATAATGTACATTGATAAAATGTTCGAAAAAAATAATTTACATTCGTATACACGTAGTTTTTAATCTTTAGTATATATTATGTTGCATATTATAAAAATGCATAACATTGATTTTCAGTCGTAATCATTGTGCTGTGTATTTTTTCTATGGAAATGATCAAATATGTTGTTCAATGAAAATACGATTCTATATTGAATCTTGTTATATTATTTATTAACTAGTACCAACATATAAAGGGGGTATTTTTATATTTATTTTTTTTTACTCGAAATTACATTCTTATGATACAATGTAAGTACAATCATACTAGTATTTTATTCATTCATATAGTATTTTGTTCATTATGAATTGTATTAAAATTCAATTTGAAATTTTCAATAATAGCTATAGAACATAAGAATATTAGAATATGTGTGAAATAAGAATAGATGTTTAAATATTTTAAATTGATAAAACGATGGTGTGGATTTTTACTCATAGGTTATAACTATGTGAAACATTTCGAATTAAAAAACTGAAATGTTTCACACAGAACAATTAATTTCGAATAATGATTAAGAAATGATTTCAATGCTTACCACAATTGTGACAACAACAAGTGTGATGTTATAAGGAGCCGTATCGTGGAATGCTGACATGTCGGTGATGTTTACACCTAGTCCGGGTGTCCATTCGCCGACTTTAGATAGTGCGTGTTGTTTAAGTTTCATCAAGTCTAATTTGAAATCAGTCCTCCGACCTCTTTTGAACTGTATTGGTCCAGTGAGCCCTTTTATTTCTACCTGTAATAAAATAAATATGTGCGAATATTTTGAATCTTAAAAATTATAATATTATAATACGATGGGAATAAAGTTCATTCAAATAGCGAACGCAATACGAATCGGAAGCTTTTGTAAAAAACATATAAAATTTAAACCGTATCGCTTTGATCACTGCTTATTGTAATTAAATTAATAACTTAACAAGCCAGTGCAGTATTTTCATCGTTCATTTTTAACAGTACATACCAATAGTAAATGTGTTTAGTATGGTAACGTGAAAAAGACACAATAGAAGTGTTTAATGTGAGTATAATATTATGCAAATATCGACATGAATTGCATAAGATAAGGTCTTGAGTATTATCAATATTAAATATGAAAACTATATCGTAAAAAAGATTTGTAAGGTTTTGGAAAAATGAAATTTCAATGTTATATAACTTTAATAAATTAAATTTAATATTAAATATAAGTCACGGAATAAGAGCTTGTTGTATACAAAAATATGCTTATGGCTCGTAGCGAGTTATGCTCAAGTCAATACTGTCAATTGTTATGGGCGACAAAAGACAATGTGTAATTTACATTGTTTCTTAGTTAGTATGTGTTATACCAAGAATGAATGGTTTAATTGAGATTGTATATGTACATATATATTTAGTTGAAATACCACTTTGATCATGAGAGGTTTGGAAATAGTCGAAAGTGATTACTGGATTATAATATCAATTGATAATAATTTGATTTGAATCAGTATAGGTATACAATATAACCATGGTATTAGTTACAAGTTTATAAAAAAATGATTTGTTTTATTGGTTGTAAATTGTTTGTGTTATATCTCTAGGTTAAAATTATGTTTGGTTTATTCTATTTTTTTTAAAGATTCTTTAGTATTAAAAAAAATAAATAGATTAATCGCTACATTAAAAATTTAAATTAATGAATTTGAATTTTACTCCTATATTTTAGATTATAATCATTTGATAAACTTATTATTCATATAAAAATGATTCATTTATCAATGTGGTAAAAATAAAATAAAGTAAGAAAGTATGACCTTTAAAAAAGTTTGATTTCAATCTTAATAGAAGTAGGAAATATTGCAACTTAATATCTTATGGAAACAGTAAAAATAAAAAGGTATACAAAATAATTATTATTTATTTAGATATTCCAGGTTCATTGTTAAACGATATTTGTTTTGAGACTATAACTTTTTTGTAACATTTAATTTAAATAAAAATGTAATACGTGTAATTATATGTAATGTGTGAGTATGAGTTGAAAAAAATATGTACTTTTAATTTATTTTGTTTACTGAAATTCGATACTTCCAACGTTGATTAACTCACTTGCTATAGTAATAAACAAGCCTTCCAATATAATTAAATTTTTAATTAATCTAGATATTATTGCTTTTGTTCCTTATAAATAACAATTTATTTTTAAATATAGCAGTAGTGTTCAGTTTGTTCGAACTGTTTATTGTTAACCATCGAATAGTAGTGATACTAATATTCAATTTTTTGTACTAACCTGATGAAAACGTATTTTTTTTACGTTTCAGTACTCACCGAATTGATGTAGTTTATCAAACTTGAGCCGTTCGCCCAAGGCACTTCGTTTTTGCAGGAAATGTTCGGGTATTCGAGTATATTGTTCTGTTGAAGTGCACCCAAGCCGACTGCCAATACTTGCACGGAGTCATACATTAGAGCTGGTTCACACTAGTGCAACGCGTATTATATTCGTAGATTAGTGTTTTTCGTTAAAAATCGTTGATGAATTTTGTAATTAATTAATTTTTTTTTTTTTTTTTTTTTTTTTTTAATATTAATCGAATAGAAGTTCGCGAAAACTCGACCAACCTGCGTCAACATAAACTTGTTGATTGTTTGGTTTTTTTCGCTCGAATACTTTTCCATGTGTTTGAGTACTTCGCGAACACCGACGTCTTCAATATCCACCATTCTGAAAGTTGTCAGATTTACAAAATTGTATTTGAAGTCTTCCAAGTCAAACATTTCCATGTCCTAAAACGATCGTCGCGACTTAATGTTATTATTAAATAAGTAGCACGGCGTTTAGATTAGGCAAACTAGCACCATTGGTGTATACAATTTTTTTCTTTACCCTTAGGGAATAATAATTTTATTTAATATGCAACAATTGACTACCCAACATCGTTAAACAATATAATTATACTAGACATTTATATATAAGTGTCATTTATCTTAATTGACCGATTAAATAATTTTTCTAACCTTGTTTTCCAAATTGCTTTATTTTTTTTCATAAACGCTTATGCAGTAATATTAATTAGTTCCTGTATTTATTTTTGACGCAAATTGTTAGTCATTATTTATTTGTAATTTGATGTACAAGACTACGGTGTACAAATTAAGTTCAAAATGTTAATCAGCGGTGGCATATTTACATTTTTCTGCGTATAGTTCTGTGGAAAATTGCTGCCCCAAATAACTAAAATCATATGCCTCACCAATTGAATTATCATTTAATTACTTACTATGAAATATATGTTAATTATGTAAGTATACAAAACAAATTTAATTTAAATACTAAAATATAATTGCTTAAGATTAAAACCATTTTTATTATTAAATAATAACAAATTAAATTTTTCAAGATTGCCACTTTAGGCACATGTCTCCATAAAAAATACGTCATTGTTAATCAGTAAGAACAAATATCTAATTAAAAAAATAATAAGTGTAATACTATTGTTGAAACGAACAAATTAACGGCAATAATTAGTATAATTAGTATAGATTGTAAAAAAACGTATCATTTTAAATTAAATATATTTTATTAAATAGAAAATTAAACAATTCATGTACCATAAGCTTGTTGTGTATTTGTATTCCATTATATCCCGATTGGTTGCTTATTTTGTAATAATTGGTTATAATTTATTAATAAAATATTTTTTCATAAAAATATAAAAACATTGAGAAATTTAAATTTAAATGTTTAGTAGTTAGCATGTGAATATATATTTTTAACTATTATAATAAAATATATTAAAACAAAACTCAAGTACGTGGTGATTTGAAAAAACTGGGAATTTCGTTGTAAAAAAATCTACGCTTATAGACGTGCACAATTTTATTTGAGTAAATACATAATAGTGGTTCATTACAAGACTAAATTATTTTTGTGCAGTTCAAATTAAATTATTTTTAATTTGTATTTTTCAACCAAAAATATATTGCTCTATAAAAACAATGTCTTCTTGTATATTAATGGTTAATTTGCAAAAAAAAAAAAAAAAGAAGTATTAAATTCCTATACGAATTATTTTTATTTAGGATCGTAAAATTTAAATATTTTATCAAGTTTGAGCTGAAATACAAGTGATAGTATGATAGAAATTATGATTTTTTTTTATTCGCCATGTGTGTAAAATTTATCGATTTAAAGACGCTTTAATAAGAAGGTTCGACACAATTTTAAGTTTTGTTTGTTTCAAAACATGTAAAACCTCTCTATCACACTTTTTATACAAATACTTACAAATGATGTGAAAAGATAATGAAATTTGTAATCGTTCATCTGGAGCTGCAGTATCTACTTGAAAAAAAAAATACACATACACTCGAAAGCAATGGGAGTGTGAATGGAATGTATACATGTTTTAAAGATTTTATACGTACGCCTCTTAGAAAATGATTCACGTGTTTCGATTTCGTATCGACCAGCATATTGTAAATCTCGAGGTTTTTTATCTCATTCAACACCGATCTATATGTTTCGGGGGTAGCGTGTCTTAAATACACGTCTACCATTTTTCTATCTGGTACGGTTTTCATGAAATCTTTCATTCTGAACAAGTCTAAAATACCGGGTGTCAATAAATTGATGAACATACATATTAACAATTTAAACACACGTACACATACATAAATACATACTAATATGAATACAGTTTAAATAATATGCGTTGAATTATTAATTAAAAAATTGATTCAAAGAAATGATTAGATTTTTTAACTTTTTGCTAAAGCTAGTTTAGGTAAGCACTTGGTTTCAATATTGAATCATAAAACATTAAATAACTTAATACTCATAATAAGAACAAATAATTATGTTTGTATGTCTATATTTTCATTAAGCGGACAATCAGGTTAACGGTAATATAACACGTTTACCGATCTTATTTAATAATCTGAGAAAGTAGAATTGTGTGTTTGTTTTATGATATCTAATCATGTTGGTAATCATCTAAAACAATTAGATCATACAAGATTCAACTAAGATGTAATAATATAAAAGTAAAGCATGACCGAACTGTGAGATCTGTGAACTTGTGAATAGATATTTATGTGACCATTAATTTAGAGAAATTACATGTCGGAACGTTTATTTATGAAGGAATGTTGGTGGATTCTGATTATTAAAATAAGATGTAAAGATTGTGATTTAAATACATTAGAAATAAAAATAAAACTGTATACGGTAGAATGAATTGATTGTACAGAGAAATATATCAGATGATAACGAGGAAATAATGGTTGCGGATATTAAATTATTATAAAATCGCGTTTGATGGAAGTCAACTCCAGTTCTGTAAAATTATGCAGGAAATAATGTTAAAAGTAGACAAGCTAATGTTTAAAGAAACAGTATTATAAATCATCATATAGCTCAATTGGATACTGTTTCACTGTTCGAGAAATACGAATAGCTGACCTTAACCTAATCAAGTGAATGTTTATAATGTGTTTTAGGTTAGACGATATCGAAGCACTGGAATAGTTGGAGGTTTTTGATTACATTTTTTATCATGACACGATATTCCATTAATCGAGATTAGAGTGAAATACGTTTGCAATAGAAGGTTTTATTTTGATGGTCGGAGTTTATGTTTCATTTTTAGAAAACAACCCTAGACAGCTACGGTGTTGGATTATTTACTGTCGAATAACTAATTAACGCGAGCAAATGTCATAGAGTAACGTACACGTAAAGGGGAGTAAAGAGTTAACAACAATAGATAACCGGCTACGTAGTGCAATATGTATTTTGATGCTATATTTTATGATGGGGGATAGTAGCTGTTATGTCACTGGCCGGGTGAACATGGTGAAATTTACGCACCTGCTATGTACGCGTCGGACGAGCTTTAAACGCAAAATGAGAATTTATCGAATGGCCGATCCACCCTCTACTTCTGCGGGACGGCCGGTAGTCACGAGTCGCTGTAACGATACGCAGTGTATATCCGTACGAGAAAAAATTAACGAGGCACGTATGGAGTGATTAAAACGCGCCGTTCAACTCACGGCTGGTTCCTGTGCATTATCCTATCGTACTGTGCGACGATTAAATCGTATCGTAACACGCGTACCATCATTAAAGATACCGTCGATTTGCGTGTGCGTTTGTCGAACCGTGAAATCGTCTACGTCAACATATCGGTTCCGATCGGGGCGACGATGAAAACTTAAGTAGAATTATCGGAAATGCGGTCGATTCGCAAAGTAGAGCTCATTCGAATACACTGCGCTATTTTACCAGAAACCGAATGAAAGTATTGAGTGGAAATAAAAAATTCCGATCGAATGTCATATAGTTGGTACATCAAAGCTTATAGAAACTAAATAAATATTTATGTATGATTTCGTCTTGGGCATTTTTCTTAATCACATATTTTGTTTGTAGTTTTCAAAGTCGTTACGATGAATGATGTGAAGTGATGGGGTCAGTTATACGAATACATTTTTTGAAATTCAAATTCAAAAAACAACGTATCTGCTTTAATAAAGAATTTTTAACAAGGTTTCAGATTTATTGTGATATGGTGTGTGCATATATATTTAGCGATTGTTGAAACAAATTTTTCAAATAAAAGTTAATTATAGAAAAACTCGGGATATTTCAAATATAATATATGTTTCATCATAATGAGATAATAATAATATCTAAAATGTAATTTAAGTATTTACTTTGGTTAAAACCATATTTGAAGGTTTTTTTACGTTCCAGCAACGACTGCGACTTATTCTTTGAAGAAATTATTATTTAACTCCAATAAATTAACAATTATTGTAAAATCTTTATGACTGCTGATCAATATCCCATCACTATATAATTGTCGATGGTCCATTGATCGGCTTTTGGATTTGAATTATATGAAATTTGAATCACTTGGGTTCACATTTGAGGGGGAAAAAAAACGACAGTTTCAAAATATGGGAACTCAATATCGAACAGCATAAATTGCTATGGAACGTAATGTTTCAATTCGATTTGCGAAACTCATTTCAAAGTTTAATCGTGAGCCGTTTATGTTTTGGTAGCGTTCAAAATCAAAGATGATCTCAAAACTTGATATAATTATATAACTGGTTTATTGTGTATAATTTAATAATCTTGTCTCGATTACACGATTTGCATATTATATATAATTATGAAACATTTTATCGAATATATAAAAACGGATTTACCATAGTCGTGTTCGTATATGATGGCCATTTTTGTCCAATTCAAAAACGATATTACATCGCTGTAAGCCTGATTCAGCAGGCTCTGTTTTGGATACAAGTTGATGGATAACCTTTTGGGTTCCGTTTCTAAATCCAGTCTTGACTCTATGTGAGGTAGATCTAAAGCGTCGCACATGGAATGCACGTGAGAAGCCAAGTAACTATCGGCCGGACCGAAAAGAGCCGAGATGCCCCGATCGAGTTGATTGCATGCTATTCGCAAGCAAATTATTGTTTAATAAAATATAAAAATATCATCAACACCATTAACACTATTAAAAATGCAATACCTGTTTTCATTGTGTAAAAACTATTGTCATTCGGTACGTATTGAATGTCGTAAGATACTTGGGTATGTGGCAGTAGATTAGCATCACGATTAATTTGATTTACTGCGAATTTGAACGCTATTTCAATACTACTATTTCTTTGCTCATGTGTAAACAGGGCTCCTAAATAAACATTAAAATGTAATATTAATAAGAAATTATACAACTAGTCTGTGTAGGAAAAGTAATTTTTCAAAATAATTTCAGTCTATACGTGTTTACTAAAAGACCCAGTATCATATTTTATAATTATAATTTGTTTTTTAAACCTACAAAATTGTTTGGGTCGTATGAAGTGAATTTATTATATTTATTTACCTAAAACTAAGCAAAATAATGTTTTTCTCAGAAAAAAATTGGAATGCTTTAATTAAAAATTAATAAATAACTATTGATTTACCATCATACGAAAATAATTAAATTAAAAACTTTTAAACTATAGAAAACAAATAAAGTAAGTTCGACAGAAATTTTGTTTACACAATAAATTATATAATATGCAATAAAGTTATTTAAATTATTCATTTGAAACAAAGTAAATAATTACTTATTAGCAAAGTTGTTTAAGATAACTAATATTAATTATTTCATAAAATGTTGAGATACTCATTGGATATTGTTCTAGTGTGTAGTTTAAATAGAATATTTTTATTATGTTTTGCGCACAAACATTTCATAACTATAATTGTTATTGGAAAAATTAAGTCATTAATAATGCCCGGCTTTTGCACTAAAAAGTTGTAGACCACTTAATTCTACGGTCAATCTACCGAATCAAAAATAATAATAATAACCATAATAAAAATCATTTTATCAGCTTGAATATAACTTCATTTCACGTCTTACAGATCGACTTGTGTGCGTTTATATAGTATACAGTATATATATATATATATATATATATATATATATAGAATAAAATCGAAATGTTGTAAATTTGCCATTTCGCAGCGCGATGAGAAATCGGATATGAAGCATTAAGAACGTAATTTTCCGGTCGATTTTCCAGCTCTGTGGCTGGTTATTGGTCGAGTTCCTGTTGTAAATTGAAATGTCCATTACCAGCGTCTGTACCTTTTTTTCTTTTTCTTAATAGACCTTTGATATGATGGTTCTATAGTCGTTATACGATCATAAATGTTGTGAAGTTCAATTGAATCGTGTGTTTTTGAAACACCTGCACGAGTGTAATGAACATTATAAAATAATTGTTAAACGAAACGGATTGTCATTTGAATAATATAAGAAATCAATACATTCAATTTATTTGTGTGGCAATAAAATTTATTTTCATATAAATACACCGTGTTCAATAGATTATTATTCGGCACAAAATACAATAATAAACGGAATGATCCAAATATGACTTATCGTTTTTTATGTACGATATAATATTTTGACTCAATGAAAACTTTTTGTTTATTATTCCACCCTATTTAAATTAAAATAATTTACTATGGAAAGTTATATTGATTAAATTATAAATAATTTACTATTCCTACGCTTATATACTCGTATGTATAATTATTTATGTTATTCTTAAATATAATAAAGTAACAGGTCATAAAAAAATAATATAATATCATGTAGTCAAAATTAGCACTAAACACTCAAATCGTATACTATTGCAAGTCGTCAGTATATTGATTTTCATCGTGACAGTTGATTTTATTGTATTTTTCATACATTTGAGCCATAAAAATAAAAGCATTGGGAAATGTATTTTAATTCCAACTCGACTATAGAAACTATTTAAACCAATCAGAAACATTTCTATAGTTTTGAAAATAAAAATAAATACTTGATGAGAAAAACAATTTCAAATATAAAACTAAAATGACAGACCACTTCAATTTTATAAATAAATAGTGTGAACGCAGAGCAAATTAAGTCTCTAATATGAAAGTTTTAAATAAACATATATTAACATTTAAGAAAGAAAAATATTATTATTTGAAATTTAATATAATATAAGTCCAATTTAATTCAAATACGAAATTTCAAATGCAAAATATATATGTAGGTAAGTCAAATATATATATATAGGATATTTTAAAAGTATTAATATAATTTGAAGTACTATAAAAAACAAAAAACCAATATCACAATATCGACATTTTTAAACACATTATAACTAAACATGAAATAGTATTTTGCGGCTTATAATTTTAATGTAAACTTGCAAATTTAATAAATTACATTTTATTGTAAATTTATGTAGTAAATGTTAATAATATGATTACACCATTAATTTTAAGTATTTTAAAATAGTAGTTCATTACAGTATTTAATAGTACTATTTTTTTACTTCTAAAATACAAAAGCAACTTTACCTATTTTTATGCTATTCGATTGATGAGTTTGAACTAATATCGATCGCAATAATATTTCCAAAAACAACCAACTCCAGTACTGTGTCTTCATTATTCGTAAGGGTATCCAAAAGTATGTTTAACTGAAAAATAGATTATAACGTGTTAGAAATGTTGTTATGTAACTACACACATACACACACACACACACACACACACACACACACATACACGCTCACATTATACATGTATTCATGCGTATTTTCACATGGAACAAACCATTATGCATGTTCATTATTTCGTAGCGTAGGCAGCATAAATCATGATATTTTTATCTACTTATCACGTTGAAAGTTACCGGGCTTACCCGAAAAATTTTCGAATGTAATTGAATAGTGTTGTTGCATGAAACTAATGCGATTTTGAGTCGATAGACGACTAACAACTACTGCACGGTTGTACGACGACGAATATCACAAAACCATCGAATTTCGCGCGGAAAAACGTATAGACTTTTGACAACAACCTCAGCAGAATTCGTGTGTCACGCAAAAAAAGAAATGTTTCGATGTGATAAAATAGAAATATTTGTATAATTAACGATACTGACGCATATTACGTACCTGTATAATTGCGGTGTTATTACTTCTCCGTAATCGCCTTTGAATGTACGGGCACGGCCGCGGGGAAAACATTAACCCTTCATAGAACACGCAGTGCCACTGTGTGTGGTTTAACGTAAAGACTTGTCCGGCTTCGGCGATGAGCCTGTTAGGATGCACGTCCTGGGGGGGGTATTATTCAATCGGACCACCAGAGCGCACTCTTCATTATAACCGTTCGACGAACGTGATTTCTTGCCACTCCATGCACCAAAGATGTATAATGTGGCTGAGGGGGAGGGGACTGCAAACATTTTCCTTTATCATCCATGTTGAACTACAATATAACAACCGTTGTATTGTTCAGTGCTTGGTTCCATAGCGTTTGCTAGCTGGAATAGAAAATACTGATAAATGATAATATTTCAATACATTCAATAATACATACTTATAAATGAGGTTATTATTTTGAAAATTGTTTAGAAATTTAAAAATAACCCATTCTGCAAAGTATCGAATTTACACAAATTTTTATCTAATAGTTTTTATGACTGTGATGTTCATCAATCCTCTTGGCACACACAAACATACAAGAAAAAACAAAATCATGGTAAGACCTATACATTTTATTTTGTTTCACTCAAAATAAATTAATTTTTATGGGGCTAACAAACTATTTATTCTGATTCCACGCACAATTATGTCTATTATTATGAAATTATGGTATTGAGTGCCAAAAAGTTAAGATTTTAATCTTGAAGTCACGTCACCGAATATATCAATATTTAGTTATGGAAATTTGTCTTAGTACCGTTTGTTAGTCCTAATGATCTGCTAATTTTTCCCAAATTGCCTAAAAAAAGAACTTAAACTACTGTTTAACGTTTTATGTTAAAATAAAAGTAGATACAATAAATTCAAATTCATTGTACAGCCTATTTTAAATTGTTCACTCATAAAATATTGAGTCTTTAAAAAGAAAAAGAAAAAAAAAAAGAAGAAAAAATATTCAACAACCATATATGTTTATTATTTTACTTGTAACGAAATAAAAAATATACATACAATATATGTTAATCGTAGTTGAAAAATATTATAGACGAAAAATTTTAAAATAATTCATCGGTCGTGTTTAATGTTTGAATTATTCGTGATGAAAATGTTTAAATTTTCCTACAACATCTTTAAAAATATAATGTTTAATTATTTGCGTATTATCCATGAATGTATCATTAATTATTCAGTACTAATAGCTTTTATTAACGGTAACATTAAGATTTAAAAAATTCGACATGCTAACCATTGCAGTATAATAAAAGTATTTTGAAAAGTATTATTATTATTATTATATGTACAATTATTATCGTGTCGTTATGTTTTCAAATATAAAACCACAGTATACATTTTAATCTCGCAAGATTATTTCTTTGTTCTTATCAAACAGTATAAAGTAGACGTCTTATACGCTACGTCATAAAAACTAATATCGTACCGTTATCGTTGCTACGTTGATGAAATTCTTACCCTAATCTATAATAAATGATGCATTTTAAAAATTTCAATATAACTATCAATTATTTTGTGATTTTCGGAAACATTTTACTGCGAGCATTATATAGGAAAACTTAGGTTAATTAACAGAGATTATTCTTCCTTCAAATATATTTAAATGTAATTTTGTCACATGCACATGTACAATTCCTATTGAACAAACATTAAAAATAATAGAATTATTAAGATATATTGAGTAGTTTTAAACAATTGAGACATATATATACATAGTTGCAATAAAAAATATTAAACAATTGTATCATAAACATTAAAGAATTTAAGAGTTTTCGAATACATGGTATTTTGACGTTTAATTAATTGTATTATTTATGTAGCGAAAAGAAAGTAGGGTAAAAAAAAAATTAGAGTTTTGGTTGGAAAGTTACATGGAGATTAAGTTTATATCAGCCATATCTCAAGTGCCCAATTATAATAATAACAATAATAATAATACCTTAGATATGATGGTTGAGAAAAAAAAGGAACTACATGTGTAGATATATGTCATAAACGGTATGAATAATTCTTTTAAATATATACATATAAAAAAAAAAAAAGGTTTTGCGTGAGAAGTAATATTTGATTGTAATGTTATTGAAAGTTTAGATGTTAATTATGGTAACATTTATCCATGTATGCCCATCATGAGTTCATATGTCGTTACCCCGACATCATGTTAACTAAAAATCGTCGGGAGCGAAGACTGACTTAATCTCGATTTTCGTAACAATGATATTATTATTTGGAGAAAATTAACCAGCATTCTATTCATTACCATAGGTGGCGAAAAATAATAAATGACGATATTTTGGTAGATTACAATTTGGTTTGATTTAATTACCGAATTACATTCCTGGCAGTACCAGGACGACGCGAATTGTTCGTTGCACTATCATACACGACAGCCAATTATAATATTATTTATGACTAATGGGTAAAATGCAAAACGCTATGACATTTCAAGTGTGTTTAAGTACCGGCATTTTTGTATTTTTAAACGCTGTAAAATGTATGATGCAAGACCGTAGAAATATACTGAAACTCATGCGGCTCTGAGCACCCATTTCGAAAAATCGACGTTAAAAAGATGACGGAGGATTATGGATAGGATTGCCAGATTTTGAAATCCCCAATCCGGGACATCATATTAAACTACCATTTTTTTTCACTTAACATTCATATGGAAACAAAAATAAGTATATAATTTTGTAATTTAAACATTTATTAGCTAATACAAAAATACAACATTATTGTATATAGCCATGCCGATTTGATAACCATAATGTAATGATATCATGTATAATATTATTAAATAATACAATATTAAATGCTATTTTTTTCAGCTTCTCTTAACCGGAACAAACTGAATGATCGGTCGAAACATCGGGACATGCCATTGAAACCGCGACAAATGTGGAAGTTTACTTGTGGACAGCATTCTAGCCATCGTACGAGAGCGTATTACAATGTCTTCGTTATTAGTGAGATCGAAAAATTCGTGCTGGCTGAAGACGTATCGGAGTTTTTTTACACAACAACTGTTGATTCAACGTGAGTGTCGCATGCACCACCACCACACCATTGTACACAATGCACAAACTGTACACTAAATATGAAAAAGTCACGTCGACGACGATATCTTCCGATCCACGGGCTCATCGGTCACGTACGCACGACAAAAAATAGTTTGTTAAAGTTGATAAATCCGTCACAATTTTGAAACTTTCAAAGACGAAACGCTATAGTGTAAATCATATCATATTCTTATCGATTTTATCAGAAGTATTTTATAATAATATATGATTACCATTTTATAGTCAAAGAAGGGTACTTACTTGATGTTCGTTTTCGTTCGTCTCCACGACGCGTTGCGACGCAGAACTCGAACGTGATCTACGTCTGTCGCGATTTATCGTCCGGTTCAATCCTTCACGATCAAGTGTCACATGCGCCACCACATATGGAGTTGTAAGACTAAAACTGTTCAAACAATGATTTGCAGCTACCGCCAACATGTTGCCGACTGATATGAATTCGATTTGATGAATGATTTTTTTCTCGAATTTTTTTGAATCAGTTTCGTTTAATGCTCAAAGAGTTTTTTTGTCACTTTCCAGTAAAATTTTCTTTTTTGACCCAAGAAAAAAAATATGCAAAGGATTTTTAAATCATTTATTAAATCTTTAGTAGGTATTATAAAATAAAAAATGTTAACAATTTACATGGTTTTGGACTAGATTTGTCAAAATTTGAACTTTAAAATAATTTTTTTAAATATTGTATCTGAGAATTTTAAATATTTTGTATCGAAATAATACCAAACTATTATGAATCTTGTATACAATTTTAAGCACTAAAAACAAAATCAAAAAATTTTAACAAACTATAACCAACTAAAAAGTTAAAAAATTCAAAAATGTACTTATGAAAAATACAAAAAAGGTCAACATTTTTTGGAATCTGTAGAATATTTAAAGAACAGCTGTATTAATATTCAGTATATCTCTTAATTATATACGATAATTTTGTTACAAAATAATTATATAATATAATTAAGTTACATAAAATATTTTGATTTGATTAAAAACTAGTATCTTGAATGTGTTGCCACTTTTTTATGTAATTTTTCAATAGTTATTCTTTATTATTAATAATAATGTTAAGTAATACAAAAATAGACCTCCAGAATGTGTCAGAATTTTTTATTAGAAAAAGAAACTGTTAGTTTTCGGAGCAGAATCAAGTAATCTAGTCAAAATCGTGTAGACAAACACAAAATACAATGACATATTTTCTGGTAAAGCCAACACATTTTGTGCTTCATTCAGAATATAAAAAGGATCATTGGCAACTGGTAGAAAAACGTGAGTCTTATGAGCATAATAATCATATTTTATGATTTACGTATGGAATAATGGGTTATTCAGTGTCTACCATGATACTTATAAATAAATAATAGAAAATATAATTTTTTTTTATTTATATAGTTAATCGTAATGGTAATCACGTCATGTTCAATGTCATTATACTTCATCTATAAGTAAAAAAAATATTTGTTTTTATGCTAAAAATGTTTTATTGAAATAGTGTTAAATAAGATAATTTAATAAAAATGTTACTTTGTTTGATAGGTAAATAATTCTGTAAAAAAAAAAAAAAATGTATATAATAAGCTTAAGTCAAATTGAAAACATAATAAGTATTTTATTTTTAATTAAAAACTTTTCAGTAAAATTTTAACTTGAAAAATTTAAATAAATATGAAATAAATACTATGAGCTTTTAAAGTCTTATGTATATTGATGAATATTATGAGAACAGTGTTTGCCACTAATTATGCCAATAAATACATTATATTATACTCTACATAATACTTATTAATTATGTGATGAGTATTACAGTAAATAATTTAAATACATTTTTAGTTATTATTCACCAGTGAGCATTAAAATATTTTATC